ATAGATGGTTTGAACTCCTCTGCAGTTTAGTTTCAGAAAGATTCTGTAAGTGTTCATATCATTAACAGAAAATACAAAAAAAGAACCAGGCCCAAGATGGACCTTTGATGTAAACTCTCATAAAATGTCCCTGTGAAAATTGATAGATCATTGGAAATAACTCTATATGTGCACACTTTCAATCAGTTGAACACATATTTCCCATATTTTCCTCTAGTTGCTATTCCCTTAATTTCCTTGTCAGAATACTAAGTACAATAATATTAAAAAACTTTCTAAGTCCAGTAGAAAGGTATTAAAAACCTTACCGAGATAGATGGCCTGTCTCCTCCTTCTTTCCATTAGACTAGATACTTTTCAAAACAAGAAAATAGGTTGCCTTGAGATTGCTTGGTTCTGATAAATCTATATTAGCTTTTTGTTTTCACCTTCCTACTCATTCAGTGATGGTGAATTGTTTAGCAATTACTTCCTCTATTATATTTTGAGATAGGAACTAAGCTGATGGACTAAGTTCTGCAGGTCATCATCTTTCTCCTTGTTGAAGATAGATACTATGCTTGTTCTCTCCGTTCTCGTTGGACCATCCCACTTACTTTCATTCTCTAAGGTAAACGCTAATAGAGGTTGCTTTGCCTTAGCTTTTAATTGATTTAGTTCTCTAGGCTTTTCCAGCTTGAATATATTCAAGTGATTAAAATGGTTTTTAATCTGTTATTTCACACTTCTACTTTCTATCCCTATCCTCCTCAAACATTTTAAATATCTTCTCATAATTAATATCTTGTTTCGAAATTTGAGGCAGAAAAAACATTCCATATTTCTACCTTCTCTGTAACCTCCCTTATTTTCTCTCCTAACCTCACTAATAATGCAATAAAAAATTCTGCTGTCTCCTTTCTTCTTAAGCAGTCATAGGCCATTGCCTGGCTGGCAAATAAAAAATTGCTGTACTTTGTTCATGTCATGTTAGTACCAGAGAAATTTGGTAGTTTTGACCCAGAGTCAATGACCCTGTGAACTTTCCTAGAACTGCTCGGTTATCTTAACTTGACTGTCAATGTTGTCAGTGACATTAAAGATGAAGCTGAAGAAGTAGAAATTTACAGAGTGACTGTGGTGTCTGAATCATCAGAAATGTCAGAAAATGTTCAGAAAAAAAATGGATTTGTATCTTTGTTGAGAAAGGAGAATAGAGCTGCCTATCTGAGGAGAACAACAGAGGCTGACTGGAAATCTTGGTATCAGATTAATGATGTGGGGAAACCAGTCAGACAAAAATTTCTTCTTGTTGCAGCAAGGGAATTACTGCACTGTATTCCCTAATTCCTGTATTTGTGTCATAGAGCTGAAATTGTCTGTAAAAGGGGGATAAGTGCAAATTTTACATTTGTGTAATAATTATCATAAGAAAATCCGTGGCAATTTTCATCCTCAAATAAATTATCAATATTTTCTTTCCTTAAGATACTACTTGTTCTAGTCAGAAAAAAAAAAGTCTAGAGATTAATTACAGTATTTTAATTTTCAGTATTAACACAAGTTTATGCATACACATTAGTGTATACTCTTGGGTAGTCTTTGCATATGTACGTTTCACAATAAAACCTCTATTAGTCATTACGTGCCTACCCTAAGATTAAATGCACCCAGGTACTCATCACTGAGAATGTGGTGCACAAAAATTTATAAATAAATAATAATTTTAAAATGGCAAAGATGAAACTGTGAACATAACCTTGTAGTGGGCAGATAAGTGAGACTTTGGAATAAGCAGGGAAAAGTCAATATTACTGTAAATTGTTGACAGAGCTGGTAAAGGATTGTTTCACTTACGGCTTCTTTGGAAAGTGCCAATCCATCATAACTTAAACTGCTTCTGAAAAAAAATCTTGTTTAGCTAAATTCCCAATTTAAAAACATTTCAATGACCCACACTATCTGTTTTAACAGTTTCAGAATATTCTATTTTTTATTTGATTTTGACAATCACTTTTAGTTGTGATTCCTAACAGGAGACTCCCACAGTTATTCTCGTTGTACGTTTCCATGTGTAACAGCCTGCAAATAATGGGCCTGTTTCGGTGATATCTGGAAGAGGGATAGAGATCTCATAGACTATGGCAATCCTAGAAGCTTTGTGAAAATTCATGCCTAGAAGGAGGAAAAAGTCCCACATTAGTACCTCCTAGAGGAGGTAGGAGGCAGAACTCAGCTATTTTATATTCAGAAATATAAAATCACCCAGCCTGTATTTGTGCTTGGGATTGCCTCAACCCAGAAGAGAAAAGCACACAAAAGGAGCAGAAAACCTGCGCTATTACTCATCCCCACAGACTTCCTCATAAAAGAAGAAAATAAAAAGAGAGAGGGAGAAAGAAGAAGGATGAATAAAACTGGAAGAAAACATGCAAGAATGAGGTCAGGAGCTTGTTCAGAAAGAGGTGTTATGGAAATACGGGATATGAACAAGTCAGTCCCTTTGTCAGAAATGTCTGGAAAAAAAACATCTAGAATTAATCGGTAGATGGAGAGAGGGTGAGCACAGACATCTAAGAAAGATCATTGTTCCCAACTGTCAATGAAACACCTCATTGGGGTTCAAGATTATGTCCAGAAAGGGCAACAAAGCTGGTGAATGGTGTAGAGCACGACTCATGAGAAGTGGCTGAGGGAACTGGGGTTGTTTAGCCTGGAGAAAAGGAGGGTCAAGGGAGACCTTATTTCACTCTACAGCTACCTAGAAGGAGGTTGTAGCAAGGTGGGTGTCAGTCTCTTTTCCCAGGTAACAAGGAATAGGGCAAGAGGAAACAGCCTCAAGTTGCACTAGGGGAGGTTTAGACTGAAGGTTTAGTGGTTTAGTCCCCATCCCTGGAGGTATCTAAAAGACTTGTAGATGTGGTACTTAGGGGCAGGTTTAGTGGTGGAATTGGCAGTGTTAGGTTAATGGTTGGACTCAATGATCTTACAGGTCCTTTCCAACATAAATTATTCCATGACTCCTGTACCATTAAATTAATCCTTGCGAGGACATAGGCACTGGAAGTGGTGACCAGCCAGCCTGGTCCACACCCTGTAGGGTACATACGTTCTTGCTTTTATCATAATATGAAATTGTATCCAAGTCACTGAATTCTGTAGCTTTACTCAGCCCAAGGAGCCAATACTTTCTGCTTGATGGTCCAACAGTGACAGTGTGCAAGGCAGCTGTGCCTTCAGAATTTGAACAGACTCGCCATAAAGTTACCAGGGAATTCAAGGTCCCTCCTGAACCAAGATGCTGATACATAGGATAGCAACATTTCCACACAGGCTTTTTGCTAACTGTAAGACTTCTGTAATACTGTATGTTTATCTTTCACTGGGGACACTGACTTGCAGTAAAACAGGTAACATTCACAGAACTTGACAGTTTATGCTGTAATTTTCCCTGTCTAGAATGGCTGTCAGGAGTCTGCTCCGGGCAACACAAGCAGCTGTATGAATCCAAACAATTTAAATCAGAGGACAGACTTTTTGTTGACTATTACACACTTGATTTTGCAAATCTCCTGTTGTCTTATTTCTGGTTTTGTTACCAAAAAAATTACCTTTGCACATGTTTTGTTGCATGTAATTTTTCTACTGCAGAGAGTGAAGGCACACATACAGAGGCAGGAGCATCTGCAATCTGCTTCTATTTCTTTCTCTGATCAGTAATGTGTTTCCTTACATTGTCCAGAATTTTGTCAGGGCTTGACCCAAAGTGCAGAGAACTTTCCACTTTCTCATGCAAACCCAAATATGTGTTTTCAATTTTTCATCAAAATTTTAATTTGAAAGCCAAACCATTTGGCTGTGGTTTTTAATGTGAGTTTTTATATTTTCCCCCAGATCGAAATTCTCTAATGAGAAACAGAATAATATGGACGTGTGTATATCTATATATTCAACATATAAATTATATTAATATGTATACAGAATGAATAACTTTTATTAGTTAAACATTTTCTAGTAAGATTACATTCAACTTTACCATTCTGTCCCAAAGATTAATAGCTGTAGACTTCCTGGACTGTGATTGTCATAAGTAAAATGAAAGTCTCTATTAAACTTCAATATATTGAAAAATCATATCCCTAAAATACTTCTCAGAATGGAATAAAAAGTAAGAACCTGTCATGGAGCACTGACCATATCAGACACTTTTTCTGAATGTCCTCTCATGTGAGCTAAGGGAATTCCTTCTCACCAGGAGGATCTCTGGAGAGCTGAGAGAGAGGAAACGAGACAGAGGGAGGTATAACCATTAAGGAATGTGGACCAATGACTTACCCAGTAATGTACTCTCTCATTACCACCAGCACATGAAATTTCATATAGTGTGGAAACTTGTGTACTATCACTGAGAAGTTCCAATTTCACTCAGTAAGTAGAAAACCATCATACTTTTTATTCTCATTATTTCTACTTAACGGTGGTATATTTTTTCTTGGTCCAGCATGAAGAAGATGTCCCATTCTTGGTCACACCTACACATTTCTCCAATAATGCCTTGTATTTATACTCTCTGGAATAAAATGTTGTTACTTGAATTTGTGTTTCAAACTGAATTCCTTAAACCTTGAAAGATGTAGTAGGACACCACAAGGAATTTCAAGAATGAACCCCAGACTTGAACTAAACTTCATGTTCTCCTTTGTCATATATATGCAGTCTATTTGGGAACTCATTCAATGTCTATTAAAATCAATGAGTGTCTTTCAAAACGTATTCCATCATTTAATTTCTGAGCATGGAATGTCTCAGAATATCAGGCTGTTAATTTAAGTACGTGCATATAAATTCTGTTACCTAGCTTTAGACAGACAGTTCACAATTTTCCATTTGTTTAACTGGTGTCGAAATCATAACCAAACTTAGCTGAGAAAATTTTTTGCCTGCTGGAAGATGAAAAATCTGGAGGATGGTGGGACCCCCTTTATACATGCACATGTATATACTTTTTTTTCTCATTTCAGGTCATGGAACCAAAGGAGTGTTTGAACTTCTTTCAGGATGGCGTCGAACCAGAGAGAATCTGCCATTCAAGGACAGAGTAGCAGATGCCTACTCAGATGTCATGGTCTCCTACACAATGACAAGCTCCTTGTATTTCATAGCCTTCGGCATGGGTGCAAGCCCTTTCACCAACATTGAAGCTGTAAAAGTCTTTTGCCAGAACATGTGTGTCTCCATTCTGTTGAACTACTTCTATATCTTCTCCTTCTTTGGCTCCTGCCTGGTATTTGCTGGCCAACTGGAGCAAAACCGTTATCACAGCATCTTCTGCTGTAAAATCCCTTCAGCAGAATACCTGGACCGGAAGCCTGTGTGGTTCCAGACCATGATGAATGATGGCCATCAGCATACTTCTCATCATGAGACCAACCCATACCAGCATCACTTTATCCAGCATTTCCTCCGAGAGCATTATAATGAGTGGATTACCAACATCTATGTCAAGCCATTTGTGGTGATACTGTATCTAATCTATGCCTCTTTCTCCTTTATGGGGTGCTTACAGATTAATGATGGAGCCAACATTATCAACCTTCTTGCCAGTGAGTCTCCAAGTGTCTCCTATGCTCTCATACAGCAAAAGTATTTCAGCAACTACAGCCCAGTGATAGGTTTCTACATTTATGAACCTTTGGAGTACTGGAATGGCACTGTGCAAGAAGACCTAAAAACACTAAGCCAGGGATTCAATACAGTGTCCTGGATTGAACAGTATTACCAGTACCTTCGAGTGGGTAACATCAGCGCAACCAACAAAAGTGACTTTATCAACATCCTCCAGAGCTCCTTTTTAAAAAAGCCAGAATTCCAGCACTTCAAAAATGACATCATTTTCTCCAAAGCTGGAGATGAGAACAACATAATTGCTTCTCGCTTGTACCTGGTGGCCAGGACTAGTGAAAACACACAGAGGGAGGCGGTAGAACTGTTGGAGAAGCTGAGGCCACTCTCTCTTATACAAAGCATCAAATTCATTGTGTTCAATCCTACTTTTGTTTTCATGGACCACTATGGTTTATCAGTAACTATGCCTGTCCTGATTTCTGGTTTTGGCATCCTGCTGGTGTTAATACTGACCTTTTTCCTGGTTATCCATCCTCTGGGAAATTTCTGGTTAATTCTCAGCGTCACCTCAATAGAGTTGGGTGTCCTTGGCTTGATGACCTTATGGAATGTAGACATGGATTGCATTTCTATACTGTGCCTTATCTACACTTTGAATTTTGCCATAGATCACTGTGCACCCCTGCTTTATACATTTGTACTAGCTACTGAGCACACTCGAACTCAGTGTATAAAGAACTCCCTCCAAGAGCATGGGACAGCCATTTTGCAGAACGTTTCTTCTTTTCTTATTGGGTTGGTCCCCCTTCTCTTTGTGCCTTCAAACTTGACCTTCACACTGTTCAAATGCTTGCTGCTTGCCGGCAGTTGCACACTTCTGCACTGTTTTGTTATTTTGCCCGTCTTTCTAACCTTTTTCCCACCTTCCAAAAAGCACCACAAGAAAAAGAAACGGGCCAAAAGGAAGGAACGAGAAGAGATTGAATGCATAGAGATTCAGGAGAATCCTGATCATGTTACAGCTGTCTGAAAGGCTTAGAAAAAAATAATAGTATATTCTCTTTTTAAAAAAGCGTTGCACAGAGATGCAGGGAAAATAGAGCAAAGATCTCAGCTGCTTGTGCTGGCCAGGTCTGACAAGGCAAAGGAAGATCAAGAAGGGGTATTCATGACACATCAAGGTGCAAACTTTTTTTAACAAAAATAATGAAAGTAAAAATAATCTCAGATGTTTCCTTTGAATCCTCATTCTCCACCAGGGAAGAGTCTGTTGGCCATTAAGTGTTCCTGAATCTCAAACTGTAGCTCTAATGGGGATTGCTTGATCTGTTGTGTGTAGGACTGAAGCAAAGATGAAAAAAATAATTGTCATTAAGTAAACAGTAGGGAAACAGGCAGATTTGTTTCATAAAATTGTCCTTGGAAAAGAAAAAAACAACAACATTTCAAATGAGAAAAGGGAACAAGACCAAGAGAGATAAAAAAATACCATGGTAATTTTTTTTTCTTATTTTCTTGAGCAAGTTGGTTAAGATGAAACCTATGCACTTGGGAAGTAGATGTTTAAAACAATCTAAGCCAAAGTACTTCCCAATTCTAGTATACCATATGTATATCTAACACCATAATTAGAGTGTTGTTGTGACGATGGATGGCAAAGCTATACTGCTAAGGGATAGAGGTACTGTTTATATAGAAGAAATAATCATAGCCTTTTGGAAAATTAACTTTTAGTTTATTTAAATGTGACACATATCATTTATCCCAAGACGTCACAGCTGGTAGTTAATACCATACACAATTTTTTTGTATTTCTGAATTATGAAATCCCCCTTGAACTAACAGATCTCACAAAACTAACCCAGGCCGTTGCCACTGCAGCAATGTTTGTAGTTCCTGCAGTGTAACACTTCCAAATTCTAATTTCTCAGTGTTGACATTAGAGACTGGATATTAATCAAGCAGGTGCTTTAAATGTAATGATGGATTGCATATCACAGGCATAAGGTGATCGTGTAACAGCTGAGTCAGCTCTGGAACACCTGCATGGTATTATCGTCATATATTTGGTCCAACAGACAAAAGGGTATGTTTGCTGGTCCCTGCAATACACTGCAGGAAGTGGGATTTTCCCTTTAAGCAGAACGTCAGTCAAATACTTGCCATACACACATAAAAGACCTTGTTAAGGTTTGCACGGGGCTCAAGCAACCCCTAGTTGTAAAAAGACAGATCAGTCCCCTGTGGGAAGGAAAGGGGAGGGCAAAATGTCTTTATTATTATTATTATTATTATACCTAAATATTTGAATGTTGATGTCTGCAACATAAAGCTTTGTTATGGCAGTTGAAATTTCACAGGAGAGTGCAGTAAATCACAGTTACAATGTGACACTAGAAACTGTACTGTAAAGAACTATGAATGACTTTCTCTGCTTTGTAAACTACACAGCTTAGTAGCCCAAGAGAAGGGATGAAAAAAGATCTAGCCATTTTAGTTCGCTCTTTGCCCAGTTTTGCACTGGAGCTTGCCATGTCCATTTCTCCTTTCAGTATTTTAAAAGGGCTTCTTGCTTTCTACTCTCTGGAATATGGTATAGCATCACCTACATGAGCAATGTCTTCCTGAATATATAGTATCCATGAGGACACTATGTAAAAATATCACTATTATGGAGTGTTTATGTCTACTTTGTTATTACTTGTGGGTACATTTAAAAGATGTCAGGAAGCTCTTTGCCTTCCAAATGTGTATACATGTCTATCTGTGGCTGGTTAATTCAGTCTCAAACCTGCGGAGTTTGCTGATGAGGGTGTGTACATATGTTTTACTAAAAAGTTCTCTGCAAGAAGTTGATTCTTTGTTATGTGACATGTCTCACCTCTTCCTGCTGTTTCATGGTTAGGGAGAGCCAGAGGAAATTCACCTGTGGCACAAAAAGCCATTTGAATGCCAGTTCTAACGTTCATTAGCTGCTTCTGTTTCCAAGGAACGCAGTTTCTCCTCTCTACTTTCTGTACTTTGCCATTATCATTTGCCAAAAATGACCTCTGTGTTTTAGGAGTGGTCACAGCTCTTGATTGTTCAAGGAACCTTTTGCATTCAACAAGTTTTAGAAAAAGACAAACTTTCTAGATAGGTAAAGCTTCCAAAGTTTGAATCCAGATCTAAACTTCAGGTGTAGCTAGGTCAAGGTTATTGATTTGACCCTAGATATTCGAGGGGCAGTCTTAAAACTGAGATCTAAATAGTGTAGTAAGGTTTAGGAGCAGGGGATGTTTTAGTGCTGGCTCACGGCTCAGATGCGTCTCTAGTTGGGAAGTGTTTACTGACTTTGATTTGCATCTTGAAGACATTGTGCAATATCCATCCTTTTTAGAACAGTAGATTATGAATATCAAGCTCTCCATACCCCTTCTTACATTTCCTCCTCTCCCCATACAAAACCTGGATTGTTGCAGCACAGCTGTGACCCTTGGGTATCACTTCTGGAGGTGTCAGGAGGGAAGCTGTTGGCCTTCTCTTGTACTGCCCAGATGCATCCCAGGGATCTCTCTCATGCATTGTATGGAAGAAAGTAGCATTTGCCAAAGCCATCAAAGCCGGTATTCATCTCATCTAACTTTGGATGTTGACAATGTAGATATTTATATCTGAGCTTCCTTTATGGCCACAGGAGAGGGACAGACACTTTGGGCCTATTTTACAGCTGTGCATTAGGAGTAAATTGATCACACATTTAAAAATGCATATTTCTGTGCATCGGTGGTAAAGGAAGCTCAGCACAATTAGTTCAGACACGGATATCAGCAATGCAGACTTATCCAGATCTGGTGAGATGAACTCCACTTAAAATGACCAAATATCAAGGGAAAGAGAAAAGAAATAAAACATAGAAATTTGCCTCCTGAGCATCTATTTGAGGGATAAATCCCAGGAGTAGCTCAGTTTATATTCTATGTTTGGCTTATGAGGCTTTTATGCAGAACAGATGATTTAAAAATTGCCACCAGATTTCCCTAGCAGAGAATGGTGAGCTACGAAATCAGATGTCAATATTGAAAGGTGGGCTCATAGAAATTAATTAGAATTTAATGAGATGTCAAATCAGCTTCTCTCTCAATACCATGCATGCGCAGTAGCACTTGTATATATCAGACACAAGATATATAGATTACACTTTGGGACTGGAAGTTTTTATTTCAACATCAATGAGGGAGTGGAGCAGAAAACAAATCAGATCTTCCATGGGTGTCATTTTATTACTTATTTATCAACCATTTTCCAGATCTACCCAGAAAGGCCATTGCAGCTGTTACTCCTGCAGATACATCAGTCTCTGTGGAACAAGGAAATCTTTCATCTCAAGCTAAAAAAAAAAAAGATAATTTTCTTCCACAATTCAGTTCACAGTGGAATAATTTGGGGATGTGGAGTCCATAATTTTTAATTCCTTCTCCTTCTTTTTGCTTATTTTGTTTTCAGTCTTTTTCAATAAATTCTACCCTTTTCTGCAGCACCCGTTCAGCTCAACTGGAGCTACATAAGCACCTGTGAAGAAAGGACATAGTCCATGCAAAACAATTTGACACTCTGATACATGATGTATATCGGATCTTCATTATACAATTTTTTTTCAGTTACCATAAATCCCCTGGAATATCACGCACATTCCTTTAATGTCTCATTTATATATGGTCTACATAAGCTGCCAAGAACCCTGTGTGCATTTCCTGCTTGGTTTGGCTTCATTCCCTCAAAGTATATTGGTTTGAATTCATTGTTGAGATAACTCTATTGAAGTAAACAGATTTATTGTCATGATATGTCTGGATTTGCATGCTTTCTGTCTGGTAAGAAGTGAAATCATGACAAATGAACCTCTTGCATTGTTGATATGCCGTTGAACAATATATCTGTCTATACTCTATAGCCATTGTTGCATGCTGCATTCAGGAGGTTGCACTGAAGGTATATTTTCTTTCTGTAATATTTTCTTTACACATTCCCATGCAAGACACTTTTTTTATTAGAGTTAAGTCTTCAACTCTGTAGTCCAGTATTTGATCTTTCATAACATAGGTACGCATACAAGATAGGTATGGATGCATGGCACCCTGCATGTATAATTTAAAGATATTATCTTCAGGGTTATCATTCTCAACCTTTTACTTCAAACAATTCCTATTTTGGATGTAGCCTGCCACATGCTAATAACTATTCGAGTGCATTTCACCAACTCTACTTTTGAGATTTTCTTCTGTGGGAAGGAAAAGAACCAGGAGGCAAGGAAGAAATACAAAGTAAAGTAGTTGTGTAATCAGTATTCTTTTTTCCCCAAAGGCTTTCACTGCTCTGCTCTTAATTAAGTCACACTGAGTAGTGACTCTAACATAATTAAGATTTATTTCAATGAAGTTATTCCATATTTCACTATGACAAGAGCTTGGCTTACTGTCTTTATGCAAGTATCATGCTAAGTCTTTTTGATTAATTTTTCTGTAATTATAAACTTTAGTAAGTTCCTTCTCATTGCAACACTAGGTTTTTGAGTATCTCAAGCTCTCATCTGATGTCCTAGGAAACACGGAAAGGAATCAAAGTTAGGCAGTTAGTGATCAAGAGACATTCTGTAGCATTGGGAAAGAGGGATACCTCACAAAGAGGCAGTTTATCCTCCAACAAGGCTTTAAATAAAAAATCATGTTAAGGCTATCTCAGAAGATTAAAGTGAAGTGGAAACCAAGTGAAATGTTATTTGGAGGGTAGTACAATCAAATTATAGACAGTCAAGACTTCGATTCTTCTTTCATACCATCTTATATATGCAAGAAAGTACTTGAACAGGGAAGGAAATGAATACAGAAAGCAGCTCATCGATCCCCTAAAATGCTTCTTTCCACCATAGTCTTGTATAAAGCAATGTCACAGACCGAGCAAGTGCAGATTGTCCCACTTCAGCATAGGCCTATCCACTTAGGCCTATCCACGACCTGTTTACCACATACAGTAAGGACGGGATCCCATCCTGGGTTTCAATACCCTTGGGGAGGAGATTCAGAGCTGCTTCCTTACCTGACGGAGCTGTGAGTGAGATCTGAAAGGTGCACACCACGACACAAACACGGGCTTGCACATCACCACTGTTGGCTCTCTGCCTTCTCATGAGCGGCAACACCACAAGCTCCTGGAGATAGGCAGGGGTACCTGCCTGGCACTGAGTAATTCATCATTTTCCCAGGAATAATCTGGAATCTGTGATCACAGCAGCTCACAAGGATACACCTCTGAACAAGAAGACTTTAGGGGGGGTTTTAGAGGTATTCTTTGAGAGATCCCTATTTCTCACTACAGAGCCCCACACCTCCTCACCTGCCCAACAATAGAGAGGTGCAGCTGTTTCTTATGACACATCAATCAGGTAGAAAAAAGTTTTCTGGAAACTTTTCCTTTTAATCCTCAAGGCCACCTTTTCCCAAACTGTTTCTACCTCCTTCATGGCTTAAAAGCAAAGGGTCCGGTGTGAAAGTTGGATTCTCATCCTACCCATAGTGGTGCAAAACGTCATTGCTTAGCCAAAAGGTTGAGGTGGGTTGTGGGTTTTCAGGCCAAACACAGAGATCTGGCCTTCTTGTCCAGACAGACAATCAAAATTCTGCTGAAAA